TTGTGCACACCCGTGTTGTGACAGAAAGTGAAAACTCATCGTTTTATATACATAAACGCGCCAGCACATATAAGCATACTCACTCAAAATGATGGTCAGACCGGATCCAAATAACATGATCAATCGCGTCCGCCGTACCCTGAATAACGCAATCAGGGATGAGAACTTCTACATGGCTCATCAATTGTACAAATCGCTCTTTTCCAGGTACGCCACATGCAAATAATAATCATAATAATATTGATACCTATTTCACACATTACAATGGTGCTTCAGCCTTCAAGTGTGAAACTGTACATTGGTTGTCTATTTAATTCAATCACTGATTGTATTATTCTATGCTTGTAGATATATAAGCATGCATAACAAAAACGCTGCCATAATGACACTACAAGAAGGAATTATTGTCCTATATGATAATCATCAAGTAATTATTGAATATACTTACAATGAAACTTATTATTAAACTTTTAAGTTCTTACATATTTTAGATTGGAATCGCTACTGACTTAGCACAACTATTTGCAAAATCTTTGTCAGCACAGCATATTGTTCCTACTGAAAGTATGTTCGATTTCATAAACGAGTAAGTTTGATACTTAATGATTTTTTGATACCTATGTGCTTAAATTATTATTTTTATTTAGTATATTCAGAAAATTTGGCCCTTCACTTTCTGCAGAACGAGATTCCATGTTGAATCCAATCATACAGTGGACAATTGAACATTGTCCAGAATACTCAATGGGACATCCAAGCTTACATAAACGTATAGGATATATCTATTGGGCAGGTAGTTGGTCATACATTCTAATCAGTGGTGGATTTAACAGTCATTGAAGTAGCAAATGCTGATGAGGCTTCTYTCCTTATATGTATACTGAGACCCACTTAAGAGTAGTAGACAAAAAAAAAAAAAAAATTCATTTTGTATTGCAAACTGCAATATAATTTATCATTGTTAGGTCAAGTGTAGTGTTTCCCAACAGTTATGCTGCACAATATGATATTAATATGCTTACCTATAATTTCAATAATAAGTTATAATTTTTTTTAACTATTCTCTTACTCTAATATGAGGATATGCTTGTCAACTATTGAAATATGGTAAAAACTTATAATGAAGGGAAACCAATCCCAAATTTCTCACTAGGTTAGCTTAGGTTAGTTAGATTTTTTTATTTAACAATCGTAATGTAATATCTGTTTTTCCATATCAATAAATTTCATAATTATAATATGTAGAAATATGATTTTACATGAGTTAATTATTTGCCAGTAATTTACTGATAAGCAWCTTTTTGTATTRATATGATGAAAGCGAAAGCCTAATGCCCTTATATAAAAAATATATATTTATTGAACATATTTAAGTTAGTGTCAAGTGTGCTACGGCTAAATATGGGTTAGGACTAGTGTGCTGTGAGGTAAAAAAGTTGGGAAACACTGGGTTAGGATATTAAAATATAAATTACTTAGGCAAGTATGTTAATGATACATTTTGTATGAGGGCAATATTATGGATTTGCTGACTATTTGAATCCTTAAATCTGCCACTGACTTTAATACAGTTTCATGTTTAAAAATTAATATACAACATTTTTACACATTTAGAGGCTAATTTTGCATTAGCCCAGCATCATTATTTGAGATCAACAGATGGTTTGGCTTTTGCAGCTATGTTAGTAGAAATGCATAAAACACGAGGATTAAAATATGAAGTTGATTTATTTATAACACAAGTTGTACTGCAGTATGTATTTACAAAATCTCATAAAAGTCAGTATAAATATTTTATTTATTTTTTATTTTAGAGGGTTGTGTATGCGTAACATATCAATTGCACAGTCAACATTTCAGTCATATACTAAGTTACATCCTGCTATAAACGATGAACCACCATACATTTTGCCTTTACTTAATTTTATTTGTTATTTACTACAAATATTAGATAGGTATGTAACTATTTGTTTTATAATTTGTTGGTAACTATTAGGTTTTATATCTAAATGTTTTATATTTTATATTTAGTGGAAAGCTAAAAACTTATATAGTACTTTGTGAGCAATATCAATCATCTTTGACCAGAGATCCGAGCTATACTGAATATTTGGATAAAATTGGGCAACTCTTCTTCCACGTCAAGCCATTTGAAAGGAGACCTAGACAACAACATGGATTTTTGGGTAGGTGTACTTATAGTAGTATTTATTTACTTTTAATTAAATACGTTTTACTTACCTATCATTTTAAAATTTATTTTTTATTTAGTAATTTCTATAAATAAAATATTTTTTAATTTTCTGTTTTAAATAATTATTTTATTTTATTTTTGTTGGAAATCATAATTCACTTTTAGCCTTTTGAATAAAGTTCTTAATATGAAACATATAGTTAAAGTATAGCAGTATTGATTGACTTGGAAATTTATTAATTTGTCTATATTTTTCCTATAATATTAATGACATTTATAATACTTTGTAATAATTAGAAAGTATGTGTGTTTGATTTATGTGTTTAATTATGCTTAAAAGATCAAAGAATAATGTACAAATGATAAACTTCAATTAGTTCAATGCATTTACTAACCTGTCCAACGTCAATGATAATTTTACATGTACATGATAGAGAGACAAAAACAATTTACATTTCAAAATAATATCAATATCAATATATATATATATATATATATATATAATACATGTGTTGGAAACAAAAGGCATTTAATTATATTCAATAAAATAATTATATGAATGTAAAGATAGCTGAATATGTCAGCGGTGATAAAAGGGGTTTGCATGTGACCTGTTTTTTTTTTTTTACTTAGAGACATACCTTACGGAAAAAACTCACACTTCATAAAGTGATATGATTTCAATATATAAATATATATTTTTTTTTTTTTGGAAAGAGAATGCTATTTCTAAACCATATAATACAACTTTGAACATGATTAATTTTTATAAGCTTTTTTTTTTTACCAGTGTTATATCTAAGCAGCAAAATCAAAAATCATAGTCCAATGTGCTCTGTAGAAAACCATTCTTGTTATCTTAACAAAAAATGAAATAAATTAAATAAGACCACTCTATGAGGCGTGAGAGTTTTTCTGTAAACCATATTTTGAGCAAAAGATTACGCTTTTCATTTTCAGTCAATGGCTCCCTTGACACTGGTCATTTGTGTACCTGCTGTGCGTGTATAATAGCTTTTAATCACTTAAATCTAACACAAATGCCATGGACATTGGCTTGGAAATTGCATACAACCATTGCTCCTTATTAAAAACACACAAATAGGCTCTTTATTACATACATTTACTCTTATATCTCAAGAATAAATAGAAAAATTATGATAAATGAGGAAAGGTGTTGGCTCTTTGAGCCCCTGTGCTTCCTCCTTAAATACTCCCTGTTCAAAAAAATTATTTTTTACCCTTGAAATTTTATTTTAAATAATAGTAACTAGCTGATTGATAGACATTTGTTGTGCATGTCACTATGCTGCTAAAATATGTATATTGAACTATCAACCTTAAATAAAAAATCCTTGGTTGCATCAAAATTATTTATGGTATAAAATACTATACCACACAGATTAACAGCGTCGGCATGTTCTTTAAAGGGCCTCGGATGCATTTCTTCAGAAGGACCCTCAAAAATGTTATTTCTTAAAATGATAAAAAAAATGCTTATAAGTAGTGACATATTATATTTTTAGTAATATTGGGGCCCCT